ATCTTTATCAGCCAGTTTCCATCTTTTGCAGTTCATGTCAATCTCGCAAACTCAGATTTCAACGCTTTTATAAGTGCCTTGTTCCCTCGTTCGAGTTCAACCTAAATCTGTTTCAATAATGTCCAGGAAAATTACAGTTGATATGCACTGAGGAGACTAATTCCATTTTAGATTCCAAAAAAAAAAAATCTTCAAGGATTCCTTGAATGCATTCGACTTGGTCAAAGAATGCATGATTGTGGTGTAAGTCACTAAATTTGGGACACAAATGTGAGCTTTCATATCATCATGCAGCTTGTACACTCTTAACAAAGTTATATTGGTGACAGTAGGACTGAATGATAGTCAAGTAACTGATTACATGCAGTCATGCAGACGGGCAGCAACCATCCCCTTTCATCTCTTAAACAGTCCAGTGTGCCTCCTCAACCTTATTTATGTTGCACCAACCATGAATAAAAATGTCAAAACCATGCTCGTTTAGGGGAATGTGAGATTTAAGCTTTAAGAATATTTCACGAGCCTGCTCAACTTTCTTCACCTTGCAAAGTGTATCAAATAACAAATTCGTGGATTCTGGTATTCTTAACCAGACCAAACTTTTCCAACTCATCGAATGTGTGATTACCACATCTCTCCACTGTCCTGCACCAGCAAATCTTCTCATAACCTTGCTGGACAGTATTTAGTGCGACCGGCTGATCTCTTCTCATTTATTCCACAAATGAAATCATATTTTCCATCTGTTTCATTTTCCAATATGTCCACCACCTTATCATAAGCTTCTGTAACGGCTTATAAGCCCAATGTGATTCCACCCATCTAAATATACCCAGTGCAGACCTCCGATCATCTGTGAACCTATTCAGCTTATTGATGAGTTCACGAGGAATCACCGATTCTTCATAGAATTACAAGCAGGGTCTTGCATGAGGAACTGATAGACTTCATCATCGATCCATCCAATAGAAATTTTACCAGATAGAAGATCAAGATCAGGATCCGTTTTTAAATCTACACATTCTCAGCCAGAATCACAACTCTTGTCATGAGTATAGCTGGAATCCTTCACATGAAAACACTAGACAGGCAGGAAAAGTATCGAACATATCCTGTAAAAGCAAGATGGAAAATGACATGATTAATTGGCAAGAGAAGTGTGTTCTTCCCAGTTGGGCTGAAAGGCATTAGAGGAAGGAAGAATGCAACAAGCAGCGTCTCTGGTTGTTATTCCAGCAATCTCTGTTGATTAAGACTTCAGGCATTAATGATTCTATCCTTTTACAATCATATCAAGACATATGCAAAGACCTTGAGAATTATAAATCACCCAATACTAAGGGTGCAACAAGAATATAGCCTTTATAACACCAAGTGGGACGGACATATGGATCAGATGTAGCACTCAAGCACAAGATATATTTATGAGAGTATCTAAACAATATGTTGCATAGCAAAAGAACATGTGGGTTTGGCCAGCTCTCAGTCCTCACTATTCTTCACATCTCTCATTTTTTTACAAACTAAATTATAGTTTATACATTTCCAACAATCCATACAAAGCCTAATGAACATGCTAGCTAAGCAATCAAATTCAACAGGAGTAATTCACGGGCTGGTCTAGGTTCTAGATTAAGAAAACGACACGGAATCAAATTGACATTTCAACTTAGGAAAAAAGTAGGAAAAAATAGAAAGAACCCAAGATCAACTCGACAATATCAAATTATCAACAGAATATTAGGAGCATTAAAAACTAACCTTCAGGATGTGAGCACAAATTTCCAGCCAAATTTCAAATTCCACCAGTAACTGCGGAGACGAGGAGATGGATTGAGATGAGAGGATGACAAGCAGATGCAAATGAGAACGAACCTCGCCTAAAAACGATTATTCGATTGGATTCAACTCCAACTCCTTGTCTTCAACCTGTTTGATGGTAGGCCTCACAGAGGAAAATTTCTACTGTACGACTTGCTGTATCGTTTTTTAGTTCGCAAAGACTGTAGCATCAGCACTGTATTAACTACTGAAAAATTCTGCTGTATCAGCTACAGTACTGATGCACAAACACAGCTCGAAAATTGGTTAACGATGATTTTCTTTGGTTTGTTTTTTTTTTCTTTTTCTTTTTTTGTGTCATGATTTTCCTATTTCTCTCCCGATTCTTCCTGAACATCAAGCGGTACCACGTTTCAAGGAACTCAGGCCCAGAAAGCCAGCTTATATGTAGACTTTTTCATGTATGTATATTTAGTTAGGGTCGAACTGTTAAGCACCCTTATTATTTCATTTGAGCGCCCTCGAAAGACGGACACGCCCTTACAAATGGAAGTAAAGGGGGGGGTGAGGGGGGGGCGAGGGGCACGCACGTGCAATAAACTCGCCTCCCTGTAAAGGGAGGCGAGACGGCCTTCGCCTTAGGCGAAGGTGGTGGCGCGATTTGGCGCCACTTTGTCCAGGTTGGCGAGTAAATGCTCGCCAACCACCCGATGGGTGGCGCTCCCATTTTTTTTAATTTAATCATTTTTTTATAATTTTTTAATATATTTAATATTTATTAGTTTAATAAATATTATTAGTTTAATAAATTTATTTAATTCATGTATTATTTTATTTGAGTATTTGTTTGGTAGTTTAATATTTGTTTAGAAAATTAGGGTTTATGCTAATTAGGGTTTATGATATTAGTTTATAAAAATATTAAACTTAAATATTTAGAGAATGTTTTTTAATTACGTATTTTGTTCATAGGTTGTAGTTGTTATATTGAATGAGTTAATTTCTTGTTAATAATGTATTTAGATTGTTATATGTTTTAATTATGTTAATTACGTAGTATGTTTGTATGGAATAGTTTGTTTCTTGTTAAATGGGTGTTTAGGTAGTATGTTAATGGGTATAGGATTTAGGTGTTAGGGTTTAGGGTTTTTGTTAAAATAATGAGTTTTTGTTAATAATGTATTTAATTTGTTATTAGGATATATTAATTATCTTTAAAGTATAAGATCATTATATCGGATTATATATTTTGTTTTTTGCTCATAGCAAATTATTTATGGTTTAATATTATTAGAGTTAATTTAAGTTATGATATAATTCGTTTTTAATGTGTGCAGGATAGGTTTGATCAGGGGGATGGAGTCGATTATAGTCCGACTTTTGCTACAGACGAGACTTTTGCCACGAATAAGGAAGCTATTGCATATGCGAAGGATATTGCAAAATCTACAACATGGAGTTAAGTGTATACTCGCACAAATATAATAGTACTATACTCCTTTGTCATAAAGGAGGGCGGTACCAAGGTCAACAGGTGGATGAAAACGTGCGCGCCCGACTTAATACAAAGACACAGATGACCGGATGTCTGTTACTATTTACAAGATATATGATAGGTGGGCGATCCGTGTATATCCAGGTCCGTGGGGAATGCACAACCATTCATTGAAAGATCCACCTCGAGTCAGGAGGCCATTGAGTGCAGAAGTGAAAGAGCTTATTCAGGAGTACTGTAAAGCTGGGACTAAGACAGTCCATATTTTACAGGCGATACAGACACAATTTCCTGATGAAAAGGTTACCTCCAAACAAGTCTACAACTACAAAAATCAATTGCGTATGGTTAAATAAATATTTTATTAACTCTAATTATCTACTAACCTCTTTTTTTATTTACTTTGTTCTTATTTATTTAATTTTCCTATACTAAATATTTAATTTCTACGTTTAATATTTTTTTGAGACTAATTACTATTAAACCAACTAATCCTACAAATATATTTTCTATAATTAAATTAATTATAATAACTTTCATAATTTTCCAAATTAATTTAAAAACCGTGAAGCTCCCTAAAACTACAATTGAATTTCTAAAACTACAAAAATATTATAACTAAATTATTTATTGAAGATTAAACATATACTTTTAATAATAATATTTTCTAAATAAATTAAACTAATAAAAATAAATTCCTACGATTAAACTATAAAATCATAAATTGAACTAATAATAAATAATTAAACTAAATTTCATAAGATTTACAATTACTAATAGTAACAATTAAATTAAAATTACTATAAAATTCATAAATAACAATTAAATTTAAATAAATAATATAAAAAATTAATATAATACAAAGAAAAAAAACAAAAACCGGCGTCGACATATGACCGGCGCCGGACCTTTCTCGCCCCTTCCCCCACTTTCGGCGTCGAAGAAAACGGCGCCACCCCAGCCCCGGTCGGCGAGGGAGAACCGCGCCGGGGCAAGTAGAGCTAGCGCGCAAATCCGCCATCTCTCGGATTTGCGCGCCGGCTCTACTTGCCTCGGCGCGGTTCTCCCTCGCCGGCTAGGGCTGGTTTTTTTTTTAAAAAAAAAAAAAAACATTTCAAAATAAATATAATTAAAAAAATACACTTCAAATTTTTACGTACCTTCAGTTTCTGTAGTTCTTTCCGTAGCCGTTTCATTCGTTCAGCTATTGAATCTAAGTTTTTTGAAGTTTGGATTGAGAGAATTTGAAATGAAAGATTGATTTAGAAATTGAAAGAATGAAATTGAAACTCTTAATTTATAAAATCATATTGGGGCAAAAAGGTCTTTTGGTGTTATATTATGGCGCTCAAGGGATATTTTTAGGGCGTTTAGTAGCCTCCAAGCGGTCGGCTGTGTTGGGTGGAGTGTGGACGATTTCTGGGCTGGACCTAAATACATTTGACCCAATGACGATGGGCCTAAATATCCTCAAATTTAAACGTACTTTCTGAAGTGGATAAGTAATTGGACTAGTTACAAGCAAAGTCCACAGATATCAATCGGCTCAATGGCCCATTAATCTTAACTATATATACTAATAATACTACATAAGTTGGCCAATGGCGGCATATATATATAAATAACTTCTCCTAAATTCAAAGTTTGCAAACCATACCATACTACTCCAGGATATTAGCAAAAACAAACCCTCTGATCAAATTATTAAGTTATAAATCCAAAATCAATACCCATTACTTTGATGCATTCCTTCACTCACATAAGCAAAATGCTGGTGATGATGATGGTAAGAAGACATTGAGCTGCTACTCTCACCAACATCTTTCTCATCTTCTTCTTCTTCTTGCTGCTGCTTATTATCTTCATTATCATCCTCCTCAAATTCTTCTTCTTTAGCCATTTTCTCAATTGCCATTAACTCCATTCGTTTGTTACTGTATTGCAATGTTGGAGCCTTATCAGTCCCATACCCAAACATTATTGGTTGTTGTTGTTGTTGTTGTGGAGGTGATGAAGCTGCTGCAGCTGAAGAAGGAACCACAGAAGGCAGTTTGGAGAGAAGGGCTTCAAGGCTGCTCATTGATGGAGTTATTTTCATGGCTGGCTGGTGGAAATGGTGATGATCATGATGATGATGATGGTAGATTAGCTCTGATGGATGAGGTGGCACTCCATGGAAATGCCATGATCCATCTGAAATTGCTGCTACTGATCCTCCATAGCCATCAACTTTAAAGGAAGGATAGGCTGCTGCTGCAAGTGATGATGGATGTGGTAAAAGTACTCCTGGTATGCTTTCAATGTAACTGAACTTCTTCCTCAGTAGTACAACGTAGCTCAGGTCCTCAACCACCTTCAATAAATCAATCATTAATCTCATGGAAATATTTTTAGTTTAAAAATAATGTAAGAGAGAGAGAGTGAGAAAGAGACCTTATGGACAGCTCCTAATTGAATGACACCTTCTCGAACAGCAATCAAAGCTATAGTCTTTGTTACAAGTTACAGCACCATTTCAAGCAAACAAGTTCATTTAAGTTAGTTTTAGATGATCTAGTTAACACCGGATTGAAAAAAAAAAAATGGCTTGAGACTTGAGTAATACCTTAATACCAGACTGGAATTGAGCTTCCCATGTTCTAGGATGCTATTTAAAAACAATGTCAATTTAGTTACATAGTTGTGGAAAGTTGAAAGATGGGAATGGTCAAATATTGTACGGATTGTGTATAGTAGCATGAAATGATGGTTTTGATTTATTTGGTTTTAGGAATAAATGTATGCTTACTGAATCAGCTGAGTTGTGCCATGCTGACAAGAAGTTGATTTCTTGATCATTTGGTTCTTTATGGATCCACTTGTGGCTATGATCAGCAGCTACTTTTCCAATCAAACTTCAAGGAAATCATAAATGATCTTTCATCAATATCAGAAAAACCTATACTTGAAGGGATCCATAACTGAAAGAAAAAAACAAAAAAAGATGGAAACTCCATTTTTCTTTGCTTCTTCTTTTAATCCTGACTTACCCTTCACCATAGTTGTAGATTTCATGGGACATCTTGAAGAAAAGTTCAGGTTGAAGTCCTTGATAGTGTTGGTACTCGCAGTTCCCATACACAGATGAACTTGGGCATTCTCCTGTGCTGATCTCAGCTGCTGTTGAGGCTGCAAAATTGCAGAAACCATCTTCCCACACCAATATCCTGACATTTTAGAGTGTAACTTTGTAAGCTCATATGTAAAAAACTGCACTTAGGACCCAAAAAAAAAAAAAAAAGAAAAAAAATTTCAGAACAGATACTGAGAAGTCATACCAGTTTCTTCTGTTTCCTCTTGACCTATCATATACTCCTGCCTGACAATCCCACCTATCATTAATTTTAGCAGCCAAGAAACAGAAAACGTTATATTTGGCCTTTAAAAACAAAGTGAAAAAAAGGGTTCTTCTTCTTTCTTTTTTTTTCTTTCTGGATAGAGATAACAAAATCAGAACATGTACTTTGGTGGTGGATAATTTCTTGGCAAGATCCTCCAGAAGACAGCATAAACCCATTGAGAGTTTTCATGAATGCACAAGCTTCTGAGGGTATGTTGAAGAAGATGAGTGATAGCCAATGAACTAAGTTGTTCTTCCATGGCTTGTGAAGTTAGTCCAAAGTTTGAGTCTTTTTCACACAACTCTTTCCTTTCTTTCTTTTTTTTCCTCTCTATCTTCAGAAGAAGGAAAAACTCAACAACCTTTTCTTCCCTTTATATAAGGACCCCCCCTCCCTACCAAAGGACTCTTCCTATTCCTCCTATTCCTCTCTCTCTCTCTCTATTTATTTACCAAAATGATTTCTTGAGGCCCACACTTTAATTTCTTTCCCTCCCCATTTCTTCTACAATACTCTCTTGCTTTAAAAACTATATTCAAAAACTACCCAATTGGCCAATGGCCAATATGCTTACTGACTTTTTTTTTCTTTTTTTTTTGGCCTTCCTCTCATCTCCTCCCTCCAATAATGAGTAATCAGGAGGACCAAACCTTATACTAATTCTACATGGATAATCATGAGTAGATCTTCAAAGTCTATGTATCAACATTATTCTGAAAAAATGTCTCAGCCCCAGGCTAGCTAGGCTCCTCTTCCTTCCTCTACCACCATTCTGATTTCTGACACAATCCCACTCATTTCAGTCCCATGAAATTTTCCGTCTTGCACTTAATTCACTTTCTACTTTTATTTAATTTCACTCAAAATGGTTTCTTCTCTTCCTAGCTCCTTGCTATTAATGTTTGAAAAAATAGTTTCCACTTGTCAAGTTCTAGGATTAGGATATTTACTGGGAAATTTTCAGTGACTAACACGTATATGAGGGATCTATAGGCAGAATTTTGCCTTCATACTCTGCAGTCTGCAGCATATATCCAAATTTGCCTCTCATTCACATGATGAGATTTCCCCATTTGATCCATTAATTTGATGAGTTTTTTTTTTCTTTTTTTTGTAGCTTTGTTGACCAAATTGATCATGGGTTGTTTTCCTTACTCTTCAAAAGGCTGATGATATATCATAATAGTATTGGCAATTATAACAGTATCAGCCGCACTGGAATGTACTATAGATATTGCGACCTGTTAGGATGATCTGCTACATTCATTTAGGTCCAAGTTTTTGTAATGTCCTTGTGGTCCAATAAAGCTACAGCATTAGGTAATGCAAAAGGAAAAAAAAAAACAATACAGGGCCACCGGAACAACAAATTGGTTGGTTTGTTTGTGTCATTTTGCTAATAGCAAATTTCTTGTATCTTTGTGTTATAAATTCACCATCTTTATATTTTGCCACCTTAATCCACTGTTCTAACAGTGACACAAACTTTCCCGGATGACATTCATTACTAATTAGTTTGTTGTGGTTTAGTTGTACTACTACTGCTGTATATAATTCAAGTGGAAACACAGAAAAAGGAAGGTCAAAGTTAATGCTAATTGGCCTAATTTCTCCCACCAAAAGAAGAAGAACATAAAGGGTGGCCATTTGGATGAACATTATATTAGAGCAAAAGCTTTAACCTTGAACTTATAAAGAAATCTATAAGTCGGTGTCTTCTAGTTGGTAAAGAAGTGATCTTGCTGGTGTCACCTAAATATTTTGGGTACAATTTTCTGTATACAATGGAAAATTCACACACACACACACACACAAAGTACACGTGCATACAGATAAATTTAAAATGACATAATTTGCAAAGTACGTGATGCTAGCAACCTTGAATTATGATGAACGACTCTACTTTTTTCTAACCAGTCAATGAAAAGAATTGATTGATTTTGATTCCTAGTCCTAAATGTATCAATGCATACAACGTACATTATTTATGTACCATGAGTTGCATTCTCACTCTAAAATATAAGGAGTTCTTGGTTCCTGCAACTGCCAAAACCTTAATAAGAACAAGACAATTTGACTCAACACCCATCCCTTTTACTTTGACCATTCAATAAATTTAACCATGAAAGAAAGAAGGGGGGTGGGGGGTGGAATCTGTGCTTACTACAAAGTTGCTCTCTTTTTTCTTTCTTTTTTTTTTTTTACTTCAATATATGTACCTTTTTGATATTTTCCTGTGACAGTGACATCTATAGTTTGTACTATAAGTTGCTATCATTTTCATTATTTTGTGTTTGGCTTTTTCGTATAGTAATAATAATAACAGGGAAAGGAGTGTGAGAGAGAAATTGGGGGGGTTCTTTTATTGAAGAGAGAGTAGTGTGGGGACTGAGCAAGCAATCTGTTAGTATTGAAGGATAAAAATAGGAGTTTTCTTTTTTTGTACGGCCAATATGTAATTAAGGCAGTGGAAAGGAATAGTATTGTTGGCGGGGAGACATAATCTGAATTCTGAAGCAAATGATACATCATCCCATTGGACTAATGGATGTAAATCACATTTCTTTATTCAATGTGGGGATGTTTACTGATCTAGGGCTCCAAATATGGTGCATATTTCAATGTAATTCTCCAAGTAATGATTAGTAACGAGATGTAAAAACGAAGACAGATATAACAATGTTAATCAAAATAAAAAAAAAAAAGAGAGAGATATAACAATTGTGTCTTAATTAACTGTCTCATCCCAACGTATCTTTTTATATTTTCAATACACATTTTTATATTTCTAACACAAAAAATATGTGAAAATACACATTAAAAAAATGAAACAAACATAGCTTAAGGTTGCGTGTTTGAAAGTTGCCATCGAAAATGCGCGATATATACTAATTTTGTGGTAACTACTAAAAGATTGCACTAATATGCATGACATGGTCTTTACACAATATTCTTTTCTTTCTACAGATGTTATGAATATCTGATGTACTGTAAATTGTTCTTTTCAAAAAAATTCTAATATCACTCTTTCGGTCCTAAGAAAATATATAGTCTATTGAAAAAAATAGGACTCCATTTAACAAACATAGTACTCCCTCCATTTCAAAATAAATGTTGTTTTAGCGAAATGGAGAAATTTCAAAATAAATGTCGTTTTTGGATTTCAATGCATTTTTTGTCAAAAATTTCCAAACACACTCGCAAAAGAAATAATATTATTGGTGAGCATTTTTTTTAATAGGGTTGATTGAAGATATTCTAGTAATTTAACTATTATAATGTTTTCTTAAATTTTGTGCAAACTCTAGAATGACACTTATTTTGGAACGGAGGGAGTATTTATTTATTTTTTCCTTAGGGCTGATAGAGTATCGTTTATTATTTTAAATGATATTTTCAATCATACTCTTGTGATCCAAACAGAAGAATTATTATGATGGAGCGCTGGCCCTTTCTGGGAATACCATAAGGCTAATTTTCATACTATAATTACCTGTCTTTTTGCAGGCATGAATACATGGAAAAAGGAGAAGTATTTGAATGTATTTAAAGTCATTTTTGTGAAAGGGATGGTGGAGATGGAGAGATTGTATTTGTATGGGGGATGTACGACATTGGATTTTGTTCTTTTTCACTGAATATTTTTTTTCTTAAAAAAAAAAAAGAAAGAAAGAAATTGGGAAAGAGAAGGTATAAATGATAGGATGGAAGAAGTTTGGAGGGGTAGAAAAAAAGTAGGGCAGAGGTCTATGGTCAAGATAACGAAGTGTGGGAATGCCCCATCCCTTTCCTCCATTTACGATGTGGAAATTCTGTCCTTCCCATCCTATACCATTGTTCCTTGTCTCTTAATTCATTTATACCATTTACACATTTCATTATAAATTTTTTTCCCCTTCTCAAACAATTAATCAATTTGAAACACAGAAAAAAGGAGATTAATCAATTGCCATACATTTAGAAAATGCATGTATATAATTACCAAAGCTTTTAAGGTGGGGTTTCAAGAGTTTATATCATGTATTGAGTTGGCAAATGAAATTCCTTATGTGATAATGCATATTGATTTAATCATGCATATATATATATATATATATATATATATTTGTTAAAGTGTTTAGTTTTGCAAAGTAGACTTATGAATTATAGATGGTATTGGTTAAACAATATGATCATAAATCACGATCGATAACTTTAGAATCTAAAACGTTACTACGATATATATATATATAGGTGAATCTATGAGTGTATAGACACATTGATGAATTCTAAATTAAGATTCCTACATTAAACGAGACACAAAGAAACAATTTGTCTTTCTTCTTCCTGGTGTATCCACAAGACACTGGGACAGAAAATCCGGGAATTGCAAACTTAGGAGGAAGCAAATCCCAGCTCGATCCCTGCGAATCAATCCCTCTTAAAAAAAATCCTTATCCTCTAAAAAAAAAATACTATGGAATTTTCGGCATCAACTTTTTCTTCAGTTAATTTGTGTAATCCGGTGGATGATGATGATGATGATGATTGATAAGGTTATCCTTTTGTCCACTGATTAATTTGTGAGGAAACAATTTCATTTAAATACTCGTAACTCAAACATGCATGTACTACTTTATTCCCTCCATTCCAATTCAATAGGTCCATTTAGACATACACGGAGATTAAAAAAAAGTAGATGATGGAGTTTATGTAGTTAATCTTCAATAAAATTTCTACTACACCCTTATTAATGACTAGTGAGTTATTAATATGAGAGAGTAATAGTTGAAATTAATTAAATCTTCTTGATTTCAGTGAAAGTGGAAGGGGTATATTAGAGAGTTTACAAAAAAAGCTAATTAATTATCTAAAGTGGGACTAAGTTTTGAAACATCCCGAAAGGGAAAATGAGCCTGTTGAAACGGAATGTAGGGAGTATAAGAGATATGAGAAAATAGAACGGAACAAAGTAACGGCCAAAACTCAGATTATTGGCAGCCGTTTTATAATTAGGATAATTCAAAGGACTGGATCGTAGAGAGTTGCCCAGAAATCTAAATTTCAGTGTTTCCTTGGGGTGATGAATTTGTAACATATATGCTCTATAGCATCCATCCAGGCATCATCATCAGCTGAATTGTTATTATTGATAAAATAAGCAGCAATCATTCGATATAGTATTTATGATTTTATATATGGTATTCTATTGTACAATTTCCAATACGTGCGTTTTATGATACTGCGCAATCTTGATCCTTCCCAAACTTAGCTACCTAAAAATAACATTATTCTTTTGTCTCTCAATGACTTTAAGGGATGTTCATACCATCTCTACGTGTATCAAGTTCGCGCAGATAAAATACATATAAATGCAAAAGATGGTTCACCATTTTATTTAAAACTTTGTACAATACGTGCTCATAGTAAGTAAACCTCCTTATTGTATACACCAATTTGACAAGAAGAAGAAGAAGTTAAATATAGAGAGCGTTTAGAACGATAATGAGTTTTTTTTTAATGAATTAATCGGAAAGATCTCTTATGATTTGCTCTTAAAGTTAATTATTATTATTCAGATTATATTAAAAACTTTTTATAACCTTGCATTTCTCAAAAGTCGATACAACAGGTAGGGTTTGGTGCTGTAATATTTCTCCCACTTTTCCTGTAATTGGGAATGACCCTTTGTTTTCCTCTAAATCAGATTTCATATCAAAATGTCAGATATGCTGTAATCAACTAATAAAGGACTTCTGGCCAAAAAAAAAAAAAAGATAAGCCATCATATTTATTTTCTCCCAGTGTGTGGAATATTTCTTTGTTAGCATACGATGGAAGATGCTGATTACACATTTTACGTGAACAAAATCCCAATTAAATCGTAAACTAATTGGAAATGTTAATCCTGTACATTTAATCTTACAATTCTTAAGATAAAGATTCCAATATATGGATTTATCTTTAAATAAATTCAGAAAATGGACGCAAATTAGCTAGTGGATTTCTAATAAATTAAAATATATTCTGGGGTGTTAGAATTATTATTCTTTGTCCTGTTTTTATGTGACTGCATGCATGGCACCTAAGTTCTTAAAATAATTTTCATGTCAATGCAGTATCGGGGGTCCCGGCATTGTGCCTTAAAATCAAACATAAGTAATAAAATTTAGGGGGATAAAACATTTACCCAAAAAAAAAAAAAAAAGAAAAAGGATCCCAAATAATAATAATAAAAAAAAAGAAATCATTAGGGCACAAAAATCTCAAACTTTCACATGATTAATTCATCGCTCCAGAAATAAAGAAAGCCTCGTCGTAGTATCGCTATCCTAGCCCCCCCTAGCCTACGAGCCCTAGGCCAAAAAAGGGGAAAAAAATTGTATAATGGCCGAAGACATCAGTCATGCATGGTCCTCGCTCTAGCCACCTTACGCAAAGCACACACAAAAATGAAAAAAAAAAAAAAAAAACCCTAACTAAGGTCATGCATTTCGAGCTCTAATTTCGTTTTGAAACTACAAAAAAGAAACGCTTAATTAAATGGGATCTTAAATAGTATTCTATGTGTGTTAGAATGATTGTCCAATATAATAATTAATACGAAAATTTAATCTTTAATGATAATCATTTTGAGACAAAAAATGTCGGATCCTTTCTTTTCTTTTTTTCAGTTTCTAACTTGAAAATAGAAGGTCTAAGTTGGGAGAGAGTTGTAATGCACTAGTTTTTAAAGTCAGAATAAGCTGGTAATGGACATATTGTTTGTTGGTAGGAACTACAAAATTCATTACTCGTAAAATAGTCAAACATTATTAATAGGGAGTATGTATGGAATAAAGAATCCTTTTTCTTTTTCTTCTTATTATTTTCTCTCTCTCTTTTTTTGTTTTGTTTTTGTATTTAGTGACGGCGAGGATTCTTTAGTCATTTCTTCGACGTTATTGTGAGGTTGAAGATTAGACCAAAGCTGCTATGTAAGTCACGGTCGCCATGAAAAATAAGTCCGACTATCTATAGTTCATTGCAAATAACTTCCTTATGTTTGCTTGTTTTGCACAAGACTCTTTGAAAGAGTAACAATGTTACATATTCAATCTCCTTTGGGTTTTTTAAATTTGTGCAATTTTCCCATCTCCTTTTTTTTTTCCCGGGCAGTGATTCATCTCAATCAAAATTTTTAGCGTGTGCTTTTAAGTATTTTTTATATTGAAAATGTAAAAAAGTGTATTAAAACTTTCTACATGTATGCCCATTTATAGAGCTAGCGCATTTGCTTTCTTTTGAATTAATTAAGTGCAAGACAATGGAAAACATTATAAGTATATTCAAATGTGACAACCAAATTGTTTAATGGAGTTCCATATATACATTATGTATAAAAATGACAACAAGGATAAACTTGAGGGAATGATATGTAATTAATTCGATCAATGGAGACATCATCTGATTAATTTGCCAGGAAATATATAGCTGCCCTTCAATTTGGAATGAGTACTTACTGGAGGGGAGTAGTACACTAAGTACAGTACACCTTTTAATTTTGTTCTATTGCCAGTGAAGAAGCAGCTGGATCCCAAATTCCAATGTCCAATTAGTTTTTTTCCTTCCTCTTTTTTTTTTTTTTGGGGGGATGTGAGAATATATGAGATAAATATAGCTAGCCGTCAACCCCCTTTACAAAATGTGTAGGACATGAATTTGCATGGACAATATTGCTTAAACATAAAGGTATATACTTTAATGTCTTCTGCCAAAAACCCTACTTCTTCCTCTCCTCATCATCATCGTCCATGGATGGATCCCAAGATGATCTCTAGCTAAGCTAATTCCCACTTTTCTCTTTCTCAGCTCCTCTCTTTTTTTAGTTTTTTTTTGCCCATTTTTCTGACGTAAGGAGCATTTTTTCCCCCATTATTCTTCAAGGCAATACTTGATGAGTATATCTCGATTTAAATTATTATAGAAAATGTAAATTATAAGGGCAGTGAGGCGGTGTCTAATATTTGTTAGAATATGCCGTGTAAGTAGAAAAAAATATACTCCCTCCGACCTACATTTCAAAATTATTGTTCAGTTTAGATTTTAATTTTTTGATCAAGGAAGCGCATTAAAAATTTAAAAAGCTGTATTAGAAAAAGATGAATGCAGATGTTAACCATAGATATTTTTTCTTAATTAATACTCCCTCTGTCCTATAATTATTGTCCAGTTTTACTAAAATGAAAGATTTTATTTGTGGTCAAACTTAACTATATTTTACCTTAAACAACCGGATATACCCCTACATAAGTAATTGTTTAACCAATAAGATTTTATGGATAATGTTTTTTACTAAGGACAAATGTGTAACTTGATCCATAAAAAGTCAAATTGGACAATAATTTTGAGATAAAATTTTTTAGGTAAAGTGGACAATAATTATGAAACGGAGGGAGTATACATGTACCTTTAAAAAAAAAAAACCATAATCATTACATTCCCTAAAACATGTGTACTCTCTTTGTTTCCCGTAGGAGGAGACTAGGATTGGTGCTACGATGAAGACCCTCAATTTCATTTCAATTACGGGCAAGGAACTTTGTGATATCGGGGGAAAAAGAATTAATGTTGTACTATATAATAATTAGCTTATGACTATGTCCTTTTACGTACTTTTATGTCTCTCCTCTGGGAGCATATCAGCTAGCTATGCATGCTTGTTACAAATTAGAAGTGATAAAAAAGCTCAATTATTCGAGCGATTAATTTGGGAATTATTGCACTACTAAATTCACGTTGTGTTCCACAACCAGGGAACTTTAATAATACAGAAATTAAGAAAGTGACATCTCCTCTGCAGTGAATAACCTTTATGAATAACAATAATCCAAACACCTTTTTAAGGATGGGACTTTTTCTAATTATAATCACATGAGAATATAGGGATGTCCAATTGTCCATCATACAACTAACTGTGTGCTAATTAATAAGGATGTCTAATCACCTTTACGAAATTAAAATCTTGTTTTTTCAGAAACATCATTTGTGCAGTGACACACAACAAAACTACGTAATTCTCAATTTTACATTTTTTTTTTTATCATTTAGCCAGAAGAGTAGACACTTTAGAATACAATTTAAAGACGAATGATTTTATTATACGTACTTTTTGGCAAGAATATTAGATGTATGCCCTCCTCAATAGTAAGAGTAGCTTTGTCATGTTACGATTTCGAAAATCAAGTAGTCTAAAATCAAAACAAAAATTCAAATCCGGATAACATTCTAGAGTACACAGCATTACACTTAGTCGTAAGGTGATATCACATGAACGATTTACTACTCTTTGTTCCTTACAAAATTGCCCATGTTGAGTTTTGATTACGATTCCCTCTTATTTAAAACAGTTGATTGGGAGTTGGAGGGAAGACTCGGGGATTTTTTATTTTTTTTTCTTTCTTTCAATTAAATAAAGCTGCTAATTTGTGGGGATTTGATTTTGATGATGCCAGTCACTTTAGGCAACAGAGTTTGGGAAAGGGACTCACAATCATGGAAAGATGGAATAGGCATCTTTCCCTTATTGAATGAGTGATTGAAGACGTGACTGAGATATTTGTGGGGTTCTCTTTTTTTTTTTTTTTTTTCCGATAACGACTTTGGATTGGATGGATCTCGCATAAAGTTGTGCCTTATATACCACCATTCAATCATTTCTCATAACTAATTTTATTCATTGCTAGTTTTTTTTTTAAGTCATTTACTTATCCTACATGTCCGATGAACTAGAAGTGGAATGCGTCACTGGTAAGAATCAAACTCAAGAACACGAGTATTTGAGACGAGGGCTTTATTATTACGATAAGAGTTCGTACCCCCGGCCGGGAGTCTAGTTATGATAGTTAAATGCTGGTACAGAGGCAAAGAACAGTTCCGAGGAGGAGCAAAAGCCAGTACCGAGTACCAAGAGTTTTGTGGTACACAGATAAGAGATGTTAGTGTCATTTCGTGTCAAGTTTACAAGTATGGAGTGGTGGGGTTAATTGTACTACTAGTTTGATGGGTTCATTTGGGAGGAGGATCTCTCTTTACAGAAGGACTTAGCACGAGAGAGAGGCAAATGACACCCCAAATGGGTGGAGGGGTCATAGCTCTTTACTATTCACTGAACCCATCATCATTGATCATGAATGAAAACACTATACACTACTGATAATGAACAGCTTCAGTTCGTTATCACCTATACTGTCTAACCTACCCACGTTTTTTGACCATATACCTCTCTGGTGGAAATTCGATTAGATGGTTGAAAAAATACAGCCTATACGGCCGGTTGCTGTTGTTTCGTTTCAGATTCTCCATTTTGTTTCCTTTTACTATGCCGAGTTGGGTGTTCCAATACCAGTGTTTATGAAGCGAATGTCTCAAGTTCTTTTCTACTGTCAAACCAAAATGCTGTATAAAAAATCTAAAGCAAAGCGACTCCTAAATGCCAATGTTTCAGCAAAATATGGAACAGGGTCAGAGCTTAAACAGAGATTGTGGGAGCTTGACAAAAAAATTTAAGTGACAGCATCTTCCTGACCTAGATTACCTTGAGAAGTTCATCTTCCTACAAAAAAAATTTCTCATGAAGTACCATGAAGAGAGGACAATAGATAGAAAATTGCCAACCCAACATGGCTAGGTCAAAAACTACAAAAACTAATGACATCACCAGGAAATTCAAGAACTCCAGTGTATTAATCATCTCATATTGCCCTCCCTCAAAACATCAATCATGTCATATATCCGCTTCTCAGCTTTCTCTTGAACCTACATTTCAAAGAACACATTCACCTTCAGTGACCAGTGTGTGAAAAGACGGCCACAATTTCATAAATTTTTAGCAACCAAGACATGGCTAAAAATTTTGGCTCCACTTATGGGTTCTTGATTTGCATTATGATGCTCAAAAAGATTTGGTGGGATGGAAGTTTTGCTAGAATCTAGATTGAGTTAAGTATGTATATACCTTTTTAGCTAGGAAAAGAACGGCATCAACTGTCCCTTCTGCGTAGATTGATCGACCACATACATTATGCTGAAACTCAAATGAGACACTGCAACAACACAGTTCACATTCCAAGGCGCTTAACACTTTGTAACCAACACGAGCAAAAAAGGAAAAAAAAAAGAGATTACAGTATCAGAAACTTACGTTCCATCTGGTGATGTCAGATTATACATATGGAAGGCATGGCCTGATAGATACTCATCTGGCACCCCAACCATCTCCCTTTGTAGCCTGGGATCTCGAATTAGTTGTATCTGGTGAAGGAATTTTGAACAGAATGTCATGTGAGAGAATCAGTCACAATACAGTCTAAATTCCAATCATTGTCGAGCACCTGCTAGTAGCTTTCATTTCACTTTAAAACTCCATCTCTATGCATAAATTTCAAAACTGTCACAATCTTAAGTAATCCCAAGCAATAGAGGAAGAGGGTTTGGTTTTTGCTATTAACACATAAAAAATGTTTGTTGCAATAAAAACATTTGAGACATGTAGTTCAAAATTTCAAGCCAAAACTATAAGACTGAACAGAGAAAATAATAAGTGAGCATATTAAGCTGTGAAAAGGACAGCAAAATGGGGCATCTCAGTTCGTCATGGACGAAATTGTAAGAGTTTTTCATTTCCAGTCAACTGCTTACAAGGACATGCTGCTTGGTAACAATTTTGCAGTTACCAAGAGTCAAACTCACAAGCTTCTTTACTTGACAAATATGCAATATTAAAAGGAACTTCCACATATTGTGTTGATAGAATGCCAGAAACCAACCTGATCTTCTCTAAAGGAGACTCCAAGCTTCTGAAAGCATGAGATAACAGCTTTAGCTGTACCCGATGTGTCCTTCTTACTAGCTTGATGGGACTCCATCACCTAAAAGAAAGAACCATACCATGTTTTTCTATGAGATAGCAATTTAATAGAAGATAAGTATTGTATGCATCAAAGAAGTTCAAGTATATACAAGCACGGCGAATTGCATTATAAAAAGGCCATATGCTACTGAGACGACAAAAGATGTAGCACATAAAGTATGCTATTTAAGCAAGGACATCCAATTGTTAAGCCTACTTACTAACCCACCCCAAGGTATAAAGCAGAAATTGCTAAATAGAACCGGAGCCAAATGCGTACCTGTAGATCATACCCAGAGAAAGCTCCAGGAAATTGTTCTGCCATTATTTCCATTGCTGCAAGAAAGGCTACCACCTGGTTTGGAAAAGCAATAAGTAATACAATGTATCAAAACAGAAATACGAGAGATAAATTTACAGAGATAAGCCAACTTTCTTATACCTGCTTTCCCATTTGAGGGGAGATAACAGCATAAATATTGGATTCTTCTACCGTTTTATACAGCTTTTCCCTATCCCCACCAGTAGTCCCCATAACAAATGGCACCCCAACTTTGGCATAAAGTTCAGCATTTCCTGTGCACATCGGACATAGTTTAGAAGATTTGAGATGGCAGTTATCAAAGCTTATCTTATATACATTTCACATGGAGAATATTAATAAGACCACAAACTATGGCAGAGAGAAAAGGAGGTGAAATAAACAATGGGAGAGCAGAAAAGGGAGATAATAGAACGAATTACAGGTATCAAGTGTAGAGTAAAAGATATTCATGATTTAAATCAATTGTCAAAATCCTTAAACAAAGAGAAGCTTGAAGCATATAAAGAATTCTTTAAATCTCATTAACTTTTACTTGTCAGAACCATTGATAGAAAGTGAATACTCCAAATTTTTATTCTTTTCTTTCTCTCATCAACTTAAAATTCTATTTTCTCCAATTATTACGTTTGAAACTACTGAAAACTAAGCTAAGGTTTATACAATCCTTTAGATTTGATAATCATAACATCAACTAGGCAATATAAACTATATATATAGCTAGAAATCTAGTAAAGGAAACAAAATTTGAAAAAAGGAGAAGGAAGGAAGATCCTAGTGACTACAACTCCTATTTCAAACATTTTAAGCAAGTCATTCACAGTGGAATGGAAGCTACTCTATTCCTCAGCCTCCATGAAAAGGTAGAATTATATTACCATTTACTGCACTAGGCACAGTGTAATCCACCACCACAAGATTTGGATATTCTTCATATAAGGAAGACAAAATAGTCTCTCTATCCGAGTAGCCATGAACCTTGATCTCCTTTCCACTGACTTGTATAGTTTTCCCTTCATCTTCTGGACCACCAAATGATTCAGGAACTATATATAGGCCAGCAGCATCAGCTGCTTCGAGAACCGCTCTTCCCATTTTCCCAGTAGAACCATTCATCTTCATTTATTTGTTTAAATACAGAAGAGGAAAAGATGTATCAAACAAGTGCGGATGAACATTAGACTATCATTTGAGACATCAAATTTGAGGGCAATCATGCTTTTATTCCCCTCGTTAGAAAGTATCACAGAGTAAGCATATACAAGTAATAAAAACGATAAAAGCTGATGATAACGAGCCCGTGAACTGATTGGTAATCAAGCCACGTAACCAATTAATAGCCAAAGAAATACTACAATGTTCATAGTTCTTTGTTTCATATTTAGTTTTTTACCATTTCCATATAATAGACCAAACAAAACTATTCAGCAAATAGATTTACTAAATAGAAACCAACTAGAGGCGACTAAGTTCATTCAGCTCTTTAGAAAAACTTGTGAGGAAGGAGATTCAAACATATAAAGCAAGTAGACATTCTTGACTATGTCTCTAACAGCTGCATTAAGTTAAAAGAAAAAAACAATGTATTCAAGATTGACATTCTTGAAAACATATAGCGGAGCTAGTACTGATAAGTGATAAGAGCAAGTCAGACAAAGCAACTCAGAACTTCACTTTTCACTTTGGCAGACCTCAAACAAAGGCTTGAGCACAAAACAAATAATTTCTGGATGAAGGGAATATGGAATATTTTTTGCACTATAATTACAGAGTCTAGTATGATTACCATAATTGGTAGTCCAAAGCTTTCAGTTGATCTTGTCTGCTCGAGAGATTGCACAGATGACATGCTTGAAGCAGTACACTTCAAAACCAGATTCTTTTGCCTTAGAAAAAGTCTTTTGCTAGCACGAGATCTTCTCATGAAAGATGATGTAACACTTCGGCTAGATAATGGAAGGAGAAATTTCTGCTGACTTTGTGTAGTGATATTGCCCGAGATATTAGCCAACAATGTCATTTTCACAATAACTCCTGCCAATAGATATAATCAGGAAACAAAATAGAGCATATAAATCCAAAAACTACAATACATCCCCTGCCCTTGTTCATCCCAACTGAAATAAAATACTGAAGAGACACAATAAACAGGGGGAGAACAAGCAAATGCAGCTAACAGAGCAAGAATTGCACCAATAGCAGAAAGTTATGATGATTCTTTTAACAATCAATCTCTAGATATCACTCAGATTGAGAAGTGAATCATAAATATAATGCAACAGTCCAGTGAGGGGGTAAAGAGAATTCATCAAATGTTCAGATTAAAACTTGAAAATCCCATCAAATAGCATCAAAATTACAACGGCAATGCGATGGCCGTAAAGAAGATCATTAGTGTGGAGCCCCAACCAAAACCTCTCACTGCTGAAATAGTCCCAATATAAACAGAAACAACATGACTATCAACAGAGAAATTAATTTCAAAAGCAACCAACAACTATGTGTTTCATTTCCCCTGTTATCATCTCGTCGGTCCTAACTTCTATTTTCACATTTCTCAAACCAAATTCGTTTAAATGGAACCAGCAGCAAGTAATAGCAGTAAAATCGAAGCAGTAGATACGAAATCAAAAGGACTAAAAAGATCAATAAAACAATAGGTTAGAAGTGGCGGCGGCAGCAGCTTACCGGAGCGGCGGCGACTGGATAAGGTTGTTACGAATGTGCTAATATGGAGGTGGGAACAGTACAATAGAGTGAATTTGAGCTGCGGTCTAAATAAACCCTAAGGCTTAAACCCAGTCAAATGGATGGATACTGATTACTCGGATATGAGATTCTCCGAAATTAGCCTAACTGCCCACCTTATGTAAGCTTCTTGGATTCACAATACCCCTATGAATCCAATTTTGCTTCAATCCTCCCGGAATTGAAGTCCTCCGGTGGCCTCCAATCGATACTGGAAACTGGGGCACTATTCTTACATGCTTTTCTTTCCTTTTCCCGTTCTTTTATTAGGCTGTCCAACTTCTCTTTTCCCCCTTTTTTTTCTTTTAATTTTTTGATGTTTTTAATTTTTTGATTTTTAAAGAATGACTATACTATATATGATTTCAAAGAATTGTGTATATTTAAATTGTTTTTAATATTTATAATTTTTTTTAAATGTAGCTAAGAATTAAAATTGCTAAAATGTAAATATTAATGTGGGTGTAAAAGTACACTGAGATTAAGTAAAGTAATTACTCCCTCCGTCCTTTAATTATTGTCCAGTTTGGGTTTTCATTTTTAGTTCAAATTGTACTAAAAATGAAATCTCAAAATGGATAATAATTTTGGGACAGAAGTAATATAATATTTTATAGTAGATATAAAAGGAATATTTTTTGTTAGTGTGGAAACTATTTATTGTACCAAAACAGTATAATTATTTGTTTTTTCCATAAGAACAAACGCTACACCAAAATAGTATTTGTTGTGTTTGTCGAAGTTGCTCTAAAATCTTTCTCATAGTCAAAAGAGTTCCAATCCGGTGATTAGGTCTAAATAATGCTACTTGACTATATTCTTTCATAGGTTTATAGTATAAAAAAGTATTCCCTCTTGTACTTATTATAAGTTATTTTAATTTTATTTTATGTTACACCTAAAAGGTTTTTCTAACTGAAATAAAAACCTTAAAAATATTTCTTAATAATTAAGAGAACACTACGAATGTTAAAATATATTTTTAAATTTTTTTTCTATTTAATAATCCGAGTTTTCAAATTTGTATTAAAAACAGTACAAAACTCAATTTTCAAATTTGTATTAAAAACAGTACAAAACTCAATTTTCAAATTTGTATTAAAAACAGTACAAAACTCAAGACTTAATATGGACTATTTTTTTGAGACAAATAGAGTAATACAAATCAAAATGTCTTATAATAAAGATAATAGGAATTATAATATAATTATTACGGTAAATTCTATCGTGTGTACGTGTAATCATTCGCGTCACGCTATTTCAAACTTAAATGAGTAACATTGTTATCTCATGGATCAAGTAATATCACTAGAAGTCAGTAATTATCATGATCTCATTAACAGCACGTGTATGAAGACCCTTTCTTCTATTCTATATTATAAATAAATAGTACTACTAACAAAAAGAAAATTGAAAAAAAATTGCTTAGTTCACCATCCTAGAAATCTATGTCAACTACAGTTTACTTAAAGCAACTAGCAGATGGGATCTTCAATTCTTTTATGCTCCCAATTAAACAACAGTACAAAATGCTCCCCAATTTTTAAACAAATTTTTGGCACAAACGATGGACTACCAACCCAATGAAACATTAGCAAATTTTTTGGCCGCTCCAATCTTGGATTTGCTCTAACGCATCCCTTTCATCAAATGGTTTATCTTTCAGCTACTTTTCAGACCCTTAAATATAAGATTAATGTCAATTTTTGATACCGTCATGAACTACTTGTTGCATTGAGCTTAAGATATACGCTTACAGTAAAAGGCGACCACCGTTCTGCAGTTTGACCACAGATTTAAGATGATGGAGAAAGCATTTCCTTATCTGGGAATGGTGGTTTCTCAGTTTGCTCAGGTGGGGCTTTTCATTATGAGCAAAGAAGCCATCTTGAGTGGGATGTCAACCTTCACCTTTGCTTTCTATTCAAGTTCTATTTCTTCATTCATCCTTCTTCCCTCTTCCTTTCTCCTCTACAGGTATATATATCCATCCTGTTTAATTACTACTATTATTGTTTCAGTCCGTTCGAATTTAAGTGAGTTTTGACTGATTCTGTTTTTGATATGTGGTGGGGTGGCGTAGATCAACCCGGCCTCCACTTTGCTGGGATTTCTTCTGGTCCTGTTTTTTAGTTGGTCTACTTGGGTATGGTATAATTTTCTTTAATAATACTTCATTTTGATTTCATGTAATACAAAATGTCTGAATTAATGTAGTTCATTTTACTCAGATTGCTAATGCAGGTATTTGGTATGACTGGGATTTTATATGCCTCAGCATCTCTTTCGACAGCTATGCTCAACCTCATTCCCGGATTCACTTTTCTATTTGCTGTTCTATTCAGGTTCATTGTTGTCTTCCTGATTCAATTGGATTTATTCTGTCTTTCTACTCGGAAAGGGCTCTGTTTCCCTTCGATTTTTTTTTTTTTACATGCAAATATATATATATATATATATATATATATATATATATATGCTCTCAGAAGGCACTCATTCCATTCTGAATAATTTGTTAAATTGCTTTTCTCAGGATGGAAGTACTGGACTTCAGAAGCTTCAGCAGCCTTGCCAAAACCATTGGGACTGTTGTGGCAATCTCAGGTGCTATAGTTGCGACCTTTTATGAAGGTCCTATCTTACTGATGATCCCTTCAAGTCCGAATCTAGCAGTTCAATCTCTTAATCCGTCGTCAAATTGGGTCCTAGGAGGAATCCTTCTAGGAATTTGTTCCTTTTTATCTTCCATGTTTATTATAGCGCAGGTAAATTAGTTAGTAGCTTCCGAAGAAGGTTTCGCATTCATAACTAATTCTTTCCAATACAGGACTTGGTCATAATTCAGGGCATCATTTTTATGTTTTTTTTTTCTCAGGCTTTTGTCCTTAAGAAGTATCCTGTGGAGTTGATCATAATGTTCTCTTATAGCTGCTTTGTGGCTATCCTTTCTGCAGCAGCTTCGCTAATCATAGACAAAGACTTCAGTACTTGGAGCCTGAATTCTAAAACGAGGTTGCTTGCTGTTATATACGCGGTATGTTGTAAGCTAGAATTCTCTGCAGAGTCTTTTTTCGTGTTACATATGGATTAAATAAACTCTTGGATGCAGAACTAGATATGCCTTTAGTCCCTGGGCATTATGTTTTACATTTTCTGCAGTATCCAAAGGCTGGCTGCATTATTAACAGACTAGTAGATATCCTGGATCGTGAAAACTAATCATATATAGAAAATAACTGTAGTGTCTGATGTTAGCACTTTCATACCAAAAGGTTCAATAAATGTAGGGACTATTTGGAAATGTGTTCCAAGTCACCATCGGCGCATGGGTTGTACGCAAGAAGGGTCCTTTTTTTGCTGCAACATTTCATCCCCTCGGGATTGTCATTGCTACGACTGTGGGCGTGATCTTCCTGCATGACATTTTTTACCTTGGAAGGTATATAACAATCCCTCTCTGAGCTATGTTGAGTATTCAAGTGTCAGAAACAGAAGATAAAGCTATAAGTTGGTCATATGTCTTGCAGTATTCGGTCCTAGTTAAATTTGGTTTCTGTACTAATGCACTAACAGAATTCAAATGTAATGCAGTTTGATAGGCTCCGTAATCATTGTCATTGGATTTTATGCTGTGATGTGGGGAAAAAACAAAGAAAGGAAGCTGATCGATAACACTGTGGTCAGTTGCTTGGAATCAGGAAACGAAAAATCACCTCTCCTGGGTTCCCAAGCATGATGAAAATGGATCATAAGTCAGATATCCTTTTTTAAGTCTTGCTAGGATTGCTGTAGTTTGGCTTGTTTGTTCTGCATTTCTGCTTTCTCCAGCTAATTCAAGAAAGTGTATACAAAAAGTAAGGAGGAGGGACTGATCTCGATTGTTTTTGTTCATATTTCATAGAGAATCAGTTCATCAGACGGTTACACTGAAACTATAAGTGAATTTTGTTAGTCGAACTCCAATATTCAAAAAAAAAATAATAGTAATAATAGAAAATTGTGACACAGTCCCAAGTTTAGTATTCCAAATTTCCAACGACTGAATTTATAGTAATTAGCTTTTCCCATTAAAGAAAAATGCAATGATTTCATCGGTGAAAGAAAACAAAACGAACTGATGGTTAAAAGAAGTCACCCATTTTGCTTCTTCCCCCCCAAAAACAGAGGCCAAAATGATTTCTAGAGTTATTAGCCATCATCTAAAAACTGACTGAGCTGGTTGCGTTAGGGTTCCGCCGAAGTTCAGAGCTTGGATCGAACGCTTGTTTTGTGCGGCTTTGATATCTAGGGTTTTAAAAGGCTGGCGTTCGATCGAGAAATTCGTCTTCTTCATTCGGAAATGAGACGTTGATTTTGGGTCCAAACACCAAATGGCAGTGATTTTCCCTCTTTTTCTTTCCTTCGATTCTCTTCGCTGCCCTTAAAACAAAGCAGGAAGATGAGGTGAAGAAAACCAGGCGGCTTTTCCCTTTCCTCTTTCAGAGTATAGTCGGAAGGATGCTTTGAAATTTGGCCTTATGGAGGTTGTCATCATTGCTTACTGTTTTCCCTCTGTTGCTTACTCTTTTGTGTTGCCATTGCTCGGAATGGACATTTGAATTGCTTTTCGGTTGTGTTTCTATAGCATCTTCCTCATAAATTTGTGAACAATTCCTTGAGCCATAGTTGCCTTGGCTCATTTATCAACCACACCTTTAGTTATATGTTCAAGACTTTTGTGATGGTGGGAAAGAGCAAAGAAAAGAAAACGAAAGGCACCAAGGGAAATCTCCGGCGGGTCAGGAGAATTTGCCGAAAATTAATTAGCAGGGGATTGATGTGTTGACTTCCTATCTCACAGAAGAAAAACTCCGTAAGATCTGTGAGGGTTTATGAGATTCCCAAAGACATTAAAGTGAGAGGCTGCCTGAATCTGGAGATGTTGTTAGTAGACCTCCGGAAGGGATGATAGGTTTGTTTGTCAAATTTCTGGATGTAGGGCTCAGGTTTCCTCTGAGTAATTTCTTGCAGAATTTTCTAGCTCGTTACGAAGTGCACTTGAGCCAGTTGACCCCCAACGCTATCAGCAGGGTGCTTGGATATGAACTTCTGTGTAAGGCTTTGAAGTTGCAGACATCTTTTGAAGATTTCGCCTTCTTTTTCAGATTTATACGTATCGGAGATCGGTATACTGTTTCGCACAGGGTGGGGGTTCCTGTCATTGTCCGGGGTTTACCAAATCGTGTAAAGGAATGGAGAACACGATTCTTTTACATTGATAGGAAGATTGTCACCAGTTCTATGGTGTGGCGTGATAAGGAGAAACCTATCAAAGACATAAGCCTCGTGTCAGGGGGGAATGATCCGGCCATTGTGGAGCTCGGGAAGCATTCTGTCTTTGGTAGGATCCTTCCAGAGGCTGCATTGATTCATGCTGGGATGAGTCACCTTGGGAAGAAGGATAAAAAGCCAAAGCCCAAGCTTATTGGTTCTGACTGGCTTGGTAGGGATTAAATTCGTCTGTGTTATTGTTGTTACCTCCCCTCTTTTATTGTTTTTGTAACTATTTGGGAAGATTGTTGCTGCAGCCCTTCTTTTCTTATTGTTGTAACTATTTATTTCTGATGTTTTGCAGAGAAGGACTTGATTTCCTTTTTAGATGACAAAGGTCTCAACGCCATTGGGGATGAGACTAGAGCCGCTTGGAAATGTAAGGCTTCTGCAATAAAGCCTACTAAAATACCTTCTGGGAAGAAGAGAAAAGCTTCTTTGCCTCTGAATAGCCAGGAGGCTTTGCGTCAAGCTTTGGCAGCGGCCCAGGAGGAAGGAAAGGAGTATGAGTTGCTGATAGCAGAACTCAGCACGGAGTCTAAACAAACTAAAGGAAAGATCGCAAAGTTAGAGAAGCAGGTAGCAGTTCTGAAGGAAAATCATTCTCGTTTATTGTTGGAAGGGGTACCTTATCTCCAAGAAGTTGTCAAGCCACTTAAGGAAAGTTGTCGTAATTTTGAGCGTTCGGAGGCTGCTGAGTTTTATCATGGGGAGTATTTTAGGGATACATCACTGCAGAAGATGCCCATGTACAACGCCGATGCCAAGATGTCTGTCATGATGGCTAATTTGAGTTTTCTCAAGGCAACACATGAATTTCACCAAAGGTTTTCTTCCAAACCAGACAATCCTGTTGCTGAACTACTGGAAATTGTACCGAAGTCTTGTCACTCTGGAGGAGATAAACAGCCAACATTAATCAAGGTTCCGTTTGAAGACAATGAGGACAGTGAAGGTTCCACGTCAAGACAATGAGGAGGAAATAGAGAGGTGTGGTTGACCATTAAGTAGACGCCCGAAAAGCATAGGTGAAGTTGTTACGGATGGTACCACTGGAGATGGCATTGCTGGACAGTGTCGTGTTCTATCAGATTGTAATACTGCAGTAATTGTATAGGGTTTAACATACTTTCTTCCACTTTGTGGATGGATTGCTTGTTCTGCAGCGATGCTTCGCTTTGTGAAGTTTCAGCGTATTTTGGTCTTTGCAAAATGTCACAACTTATGTTTTGTTGGGCTCAATGTATGTTCCGGGGGTAATTTAGAATTTTCTACATGGACCAGAAATTATAATAAACTTATATAATCTCTCTTCCAACAGTTCCAGAAGGATAATATTTTATTAAAATTCACATGAAAATCAGAGTCTTGTTTGTTGAACTAGATCATTCAATAAAATTCACATTTTATGTATGGGAGGAGTTGCTCGTCATTAAAATGCACTATTTTCAGTATTTCAACCCCCGAATTGTAATTAGCATTTCTCGTTAATTGAAAAAGAAAATGATGGAATGATGAGGAAAACCCTTAGTATTGACGAAGTTTTTGGTGGTGAAGAATCTTTGCGCAACCTTAACAAATGAATTGTGTCAACTTTGGTATTATCATTTGTCCACTTTCATGATTAAAATAACAACAAAACACTGTATGTGAAGTTGGTGCATTAATATTTAATTATGATTGAATTTCAGATGTACTAAAGTGAAGGCAATCATCATCAACCTGTCTTTGCAGTTTGACCAAAGTTTTTTGGCAGCAGAAATTTTATTTTGGGACGATGGGGAATGCACTTCCTTATGTGGGGATGGTGATTTCACAGTTTGCCCAGGCGGGGAATCTGATAGTGAGCAAGGAAGCCTTGATAGATGGGATGTCAACCTACACCTTAGCTTTCTATTCTAGTGTTATTTCTTCATTCATTCTTCTTCCATCATCCTTTCTCCTTTACAGGTATATTATTAGTACATGTTATGAATGATCCGATCCAATTACATTCTGGTGTATGAGAAAAGATGACTGATTCTGTTTTGTTTCATGGTGGGAGGAGCAGAACCACCCCTCTTCCGCTTTGCTGCGATTTCTTCTGGTCCTGTTTCTTAATTGGTGTACTCGGGTAATGGCTTGATTTAAACAATTTTGGATTCAATGTCGTATCCATGAAATGTGAAGATATGACTGATTTCAGTTTCATTTGCATATTTAGATTTCTGATGAAGATAACTGCAATGGCTGGGACTTTATATGCATCACCATCTCTTTGTTCAGCAATCCTCAACCTCATCCCCGGGTTTACTTTTGTACTTGCTGTTCTATTCAGGTTCACAAGTCTTCCTGATTCCCTTAAATATTGTACCATCTTTAAGGAAAAGACTCCTTTTTTCTTTCTTCTTTGTTTTAAATATGCAAATCAGACTTGAGATATGGTTAATAACATATTCTTGAAGTAGTGCTCTCCATTCTTGTCTGAATAGTTGGTTAATTGGTTTCTCAGGATGGAAATACTGGACTTTAGAAGCTTCAGCAGCCTGGCCAAAACCATTGGGACAGTTGTGTCAATTTTAGGGGCTCTAGTTGCGACCTTTTATCAAGGTCCCTCACTGTTGTCGACCTTATCAAGTCCAAATCTTTCTGTTCATTTTCTTCTTAATCAGTCATCAAATTGGGTCCCAGGAGGAATTATTAGTGGAATTTGCGCCATGGGAGCTTCTGTCCTTATTATGACACAGGTAATTAGTAGCATAGAAAGAAGCTTTCAAACTCACAACCTTTGTTGTCTTTTTTTTTTTTTTTATATTTGTCAGAGGTTTGAACCCAAGAATCCAATGTTACCAAGAACTGTTTCTTTCATGTACCTACTTTATTGTTTTCAGGCATTTGTGCTTAGGAAGTACCCAGTGGAGTTGATCATAATGTTTTGTTATGGCTGCTTTCTAGCTCTTCTTTCTGCAACAGCTTCTCTAGTCATGGACGAAGAGTACAGTACTTGGAGGTTGAATTCTAAATCAAGGTTACTTGCTGTCATATATTCGGTATGTCTGAAAACTTTGCTACAAATCTCATAGCCCTGTACTACTTGTTCACACTTCTGAATCCTTATAAGATGCGGTGATAAGCCTTCTGTCCCTTTCCTTTAGCAGTTAATATGTACTCTCTCTATCTTGTAATGATGTAGCTCTGCTTATATCTCAATATAAAGAAAACAGAGGCATTCCATGAAGAATTGTGTCTAGTAACTTAACTGCTTTGTTTAAGTGTCTTGTATCTGCAATTCCAATTTTTACCAAAATGTTCGATGATCTTAGGGGCTATTTGGAAATGTTACTCAACTTACGCTTTGTGCATGGGTTGTGCGCAAGAGGGGTCCTCTTTTTGCAGCATCATTTCATCCCCTCGGAATAGTCATAGCAACTATTTTAGGCGTAATCTTTCTGCAGGATAATTTCTACCTTGGAAGGTATCAGTATTTCTTCTTTGAACTTTCATATTGTGTTGAAAGTACAGAAACAAAATGACGTTGCTATAAGTTGTTTATATCCCTAGTTCAAAAAAACTAGTTCAATAATTTAAAATTTTCAAATCTCATGCAGCTTAATAGGTTCCATAGTCATAGTCATTGGGTTTTATTCTGTGATGTGGGGGAAAGCCAAAGAAAATTATCTGGTTGATCCCAATGTGGTGGATTGTCTGGAATCCGGAAGTAAAAAGAAGCCTCTTCTGAGTTCCCAAGACTAAACTGGATCATAAGATGATCGATCTTATGGATGCCAAAAAAAAACTTAACCTTTTGCAAAAAATGCCAGAGCTATATGAGATAGATGGCATCAGTTTGTCCTTTGTGCAAGCCATTTCAAGGAAGTGTATGCTTAAGAAGGAGAACTTGATTCTGAAGGTGGTTTGGTCATACTTGAGTATCACTTAAAATGATGCATTATAAATAGCTGATGAATCCTTCTTGTTATTTAGTTTTATAAGCCCCTAACATATTGTATAATCATTTTTACAATGATTAGACCAAGGGTGTTGTTGATATTTTTCTTTAATATTCACTTTTTAATTCTTCTCCGAATATAGAGAGAGTCCATATTTCCCAAGAGACGTACCCTAAATTATTGGGTTGCAACCTGGAAGGCTGATTTATTTTAGAGTTTTTTTTAATGTGGATTTATATGGACAAACAATCCTTTTTTGATGAAAATGTAAACTTGAAGCAGTGAACACGAAACACTAATGCCTTAGTCACAAAAAGCTTAAATAGTATGACCAAGACCAATGGGGGAGTATTGTTGCAAGCCTATGTGCTCTAGTTGCAACCTTTTGTCAGAGGTCTTGTCTTGCTGATGATCCCTTGAAGTCAGAATCTTGCTGTTTAATCCCTGAATCAGTCATTGGGTCCTAGGAGGAGTTTGTCTTGGAATTTGTTCTCTTTCAGCTTCAGAAGAAGTTTTGGTACTCGTAATCATTTCTTAGTACAAAATGAAGTTATCATTCTGGGCCTCATTTAAATGTTTTTCAGGCTTCTTTCCTTCAGAAGTTGTTCATAATGTTTTCTTCTACCTGCTTTTTGACTATCCTTTCTGCATCAGCTTCTCCAATCATTGACAAAGACTTAGATACTTGGAGCGTGAATCCTTTATGAAGGTAATTTGCTGTTTTTTACTATCCTTTTCTTACTATCCTTAAAAGCTTGCTTACTATCCTTTTCTTGATGCACCACTGATCTTTATAAGATCATGAAGAATGCATACACAAATTTACAACTATTGGATGCGGAGCTAATAAGCCTTTAGTCCTGGTCATCCTATTGTTTGCTGCTTTGCGAAGCGGCTAGCATGTCTCCCAAAAGCCTAACCATGAAAACTATAGTATGTGATAAACAGCTGCAGCTAATGGATTGCTTGTTCAATTGTCTATAGTATGCATTTTCATGTCATAATGTTCACCAATCTAGGGACAATCTGGAAATGTTTCCAACCAGGGGCACATGGTTGTGCGCCAGAAGGGTTGGCCTCTTTTTTCCACTGCATTTCATCCCCTTGGAGTTGTCATCGCAACTACTGTCGGCATAATCTTCCTGCATGACATTTTCGGTCTCGGACAAGCATTCCTCTCCAAACCTGGTCCAAGTGTCAAAACTGGAAGATATAGATATTTTTATAAATTGGCCATTTTTTCTGCAGTTTTCATTTTCTAGCTTAGTTTGATTACTCTTCTTTTTCAATATGAGGATTTGATAATAAAGGACTAATGCACTACCAGAAGTTATGCAAATTCAATGCAGTCCAACAGGCTTCATAGGCATTGTCATTGGATTTTACTCTGCTGTGTGGGGAAAAGTTATGGAAAGGATGGTTGATTACAATGTGGTCAATTGCTTGGAATCAGGAAACGAGAAAGCGCCTCTTCTGAGTTCCAAGGATGACAATGGATCATCAGAATATCTTACTAGTAATGGTAGAGCTATTCAAAACAGCATTAGTTTGACTTATCCGCTTGCAGATCTTCTGCCATAGATCCATCATGATGTTTTCGGTGTAATTTATCTCCGATATGTTGTACTGCTAGTGCATAGAACCCTAGGCTTCAGAATTCTTGTGTCCTATATGTAGCTATATCAATTAAGTGTATATGAGATTGATCTTGTAATGTGTTTGTTCATAGTTCATATTATCAGTTAATCAGAATCGTTCAAACTACATCTCTAAAATAGCTTTCTGATAGTCGAAGAAACCTTCTGGTTGGATTTTTCAATCCATAATCAACCCCCGATGCCAAAAGGCTTCAAGAGCTTCACGAGTAGCTAAGATATCCTTTCTGGTTTTTGAACCATTGATGAATCAGGCATAAGAGTACCAACCTTACAACACCAAAGGTTTGCCTTGCGTTAATATCATTGTACAATCTTCAACTCCACGAAATTTATAAGTTGAGGATAGTTTGAGTGACGTTTGATATAGTAATTAAGTTCATTAGCATTTCTCATTGAAAAACAAAATGATGGAATGATGAGGAAAAACCTTTCCATTGGGGAAGTTTTTGGTGGTTAAGAATCTTCACTCAACCTTAACAAATGATTTGTGTGAACTTTGGTATTGTCATTTGTCCACTTTTATGATTAAAATAACAGGAAAACACTGTATGTGAAGTTGGGGCATTAATATTTAAGAATTGATCAATTTTTGGATGTACTAAAGTGAAGGCAATCATCATCAATCTCCCTTGGCAGTTTGACCAAAGTTTTTTGGGAACAGAGATTTGAGTTTGGGACGATGGAGAATGCACTTCCTTATGTTGGGATGGTGATTTCACAGTTTGCGCAGGTGGGGACTATGATTGTGAGCAAAGAAGCCTTATTAGATGGGATGTCAACCTACACCTTGACTTTCTATTCAAGTGTTATTTCTTCATTCATCCTTCTTCCACCCTCCTTTCTCCTTTACAGGTATATTAACAGTACTTGTTATGAATGATCCGATCCATTTAGATTCAGGTGCATGAGATAAGATGATTGATTCTATTTTGTTTCATGGTTGGGGACTTGGGAGGAGCAGAACCACCCGTCTTGCGCTCTGCTATGATTTCTTCTGGTCCTGTTTCTTAATTGGTGTACTCGGGTAATGGCTTGATTTAAACAATTTCGATTCAATGTCGAATCCATGAAATCTGAAGATATGACTGATTTCAGTTTCATTTGCATATTTAGATTTCTGATGAAGATAACTGCAATGGCTGGGATTTTATATGCATCACCATCTCTTTGTTCAGCAATCCTCAACCTCATCCCCGGGTTTACTTTTGTACTTGCTGTTCTATTCAGGTTCACAAGTCTTCCTGATTCCCTTAAATATCGTACCATCTTAAGGAAAAGACTATTTTTTTTTTCCCTTTCTTCTTTGTTTTAAACCAAAGATGTGAAATCAGGGTTGAGAGATGGTGAATGACGTATTCTTGAAGTAGTGAACTCCATTCTAGTCTGAATAATTTGTTAAATTGGTTTCTCAGGATGGAAATACTGGACTTCAGAAGTTTCAGCAGCCTGGCCAAAACCATTGGGACTGTTGTGGCAATCACAGGTGCTATAGTTGCGACCTTTTATCAAGGTCCCCCGCTTTTGTCGACCTTGTCAAGTCCGAATCTTGCTGTTCATTTTCTTCTTCATCAGTCATCAAATTGGGTCCTAGGAGGAATTCTTTGTGGAATTTTCGCGATGGTAGCTTCTGTGCTTATCATGACACAGGTAATTAGTAGCATAGAAAGAAGCTTTCAAACTCACAACCTTTGCTTTTGTCTTTGTTTTTTTAATAGATTCTATCAGAGGTTTGAACTCCAAGTACCCGAGGTTACAAGATAACACTTCCTTTCTGTGCCTCATTTAATGTTTTCAGGCATTTGTCCTTAGGAAGTATCCAGTGGAGTTGATCATAATGTTCTGTTATGGCTGCTTTCTGGCTCTTCTTTCTCTAACAGCTTCTCTAGTCATGGACAAAGACTTCAGTACTTGGAGCTTGAATTCTAAATCAAGGTTACTTGCTGTCATTTATTCGGTATGTCAGGAAAGTTAGCTACAAACTCACAGCCTTGTACTTCTTCACAGTTCTGAATCCTTATGAGACTGCATTGATAAGTCCAGTCTTCGTCCCTCAGCAGTTAATATATACTCTTCTATCTCATTATGATAGTGCTGCTTGTATCTTAATATAAAGAAAACTGATATATACTGTGAAGAACTGTAGCTAGTAACTCTACTGCTTTATTCAAGTGTCTAATATCTGCAATTTCAACCAAAATATTCAATGATCTTAGGGACTATTTGGAGATGTTACTCAACTCACGCTCTGTGCATGGGTTGTGCGCAAGAAGGGTCCTCTTTTTGCAGCATCATTTCATCCCCTCGGAATAGTCATAGCAACTATTTTAGGCGTAATCTTTCTGCATGATATTTTTTATCTTGGAAGGTATCAGTATTTCTTCTTTGAACTTTCATATTGTGTTGAAAGTACAGAGACATAAAATGATCTTGCTATAAGTTGTTTATATCCATAGTTCAAAAAGACTAGTTCAGTTTCTACACCACCCCCAAAAAAACAGACTAGTTCACTAACAGAAAATTTCTCAAATCTTATGCAGTTTAATAGGTTCCATAGTCATAGTCATTGGGTTTTACTCTGTGATGTGGGGAAAAGCCAAAGAAAGTTATCTGGTTGATCCCAATGTGGTTAGTTGCCTGGAATCAGGAAGCGAAAAGGCTCCTCTTCTGAGTTCCAAGGATGAAACTGAACCATAAGACGCCGACCTTATGCATGGATGCACACAGAAGCGCTTTGAATTGTGCAGAATTGCTAGAGCTGTTTAAGAGAGCATCAGTTTGACCTTTCATTGTTCAAGCCATTTCTTTGATCTTATGTAGAAAGAATTGATTTTGAATGTTTGGTCATATACTTCAGTATCAAGTTACTTTGCGCGTTACAACTTACAAATATAGCAGCAGGAAGTACACTCCAACTGAGTCAACTTCCTTGTAGCTGATGAAAACTTCTTGAATTTTATATACCTGCTGTAATAATTGCTCGAAAATCATCTCTTTAGTTATGTTCCAAGTGTATTCTTATTAGTACGAATCCAGTTCTCCAAGAGACATTCTACTGATTACTATGGATTTGAATGAACAATTATTTCATTTTCACATTTTTACTAATTGCTGATGAAAATGTATAAAGTAAAAATAAATGACATCAAGTTAAAAAGCTAATTTGGGAAAGCCTTTGAACACGAGAAGGCGTGAAATAATTCCATTGACGATAGCACGCCCTTGGTTCCGATACGGCGGCTGGAAAGTCGCTAGCCACCAAAAAGGGCGGACAAGCTCTTTTAACCATTCATCAGAGAAAAAGATGACCAATTTCACATAAATAAACACAGTGGAAAAATTTCAGCACCCAATCAAAATTCTACAGTTTCCCCCAACCGACAGGATGAAGATGAACTGACTGAACCGAATTGGAGGGTGGGAGGAAAAGGAGGCAGAGAAAAATGGAGAAGCTGAAGATTGCCGCCCCATATGCGGCGATGGTCGTAGCTCAGACAGCTCAAGTGGGCTTAATCATTGTAAGTAAAGAAGCCATGTCAAATGGGATGTCAAATTTCATCTTTGTCTCCTACTCTAATGCTCTCGCCGCCCTTATTCTGCTTCCGGTTTCATTCTTCATCCACAGGTACCCCCCAAATCACTATATATTCTTGTGTCTTTTTCGTAAAGATCGCATTTTTTATTGCTATAGTTGTGAAATTTTAACATGGTCTATGTTATATTTTGTGGGTACAGATCGAGTTGGTCTGGCATAACTTTCAAGTTGGTTGGCGGGTTTTTTCTGCTCGGTGTTCTTGGGTATGTAAATTGAATAATTTGTTGAAGAAAAAAATGCTAAGAACTTTTATTCAAGGCTTCTGAATTTTGGGGATCAAATTTTTAGGTGCACTGCTCAGATAACTGGATATGTCGGTATTGACTACACCTCTGCATCATTTTCCACTGCAATGCTCAACCTCATTCCTGGTTTCACCTTTGTACTTGCTGCTCTATTCAGGTTTTTAGTCCTTTATTGAGTTTTACCTCCTTCATGCATTGACTGGAGATCAAGTGTTTAGCTAGCTTTAACCTGGCTGCCTTCTTTTAGATATTTTCTTTCCATTTCTTGGATAATTTTGGATGTTGCTTAGACGACTGAGTGGATCATGTCTCTTGTGATATGCTTTTGTTGTTTGTACCTAAATGATACCTATCACATTAACTTTGATAAATTTTCAGCCCTGGCTAAGATCGTATCATTTTGTTGGTATTTTGAAGCCAGAGTTCAAATTAGTGAAACACTAACTTTTTCTTTTGTTTGACAATTTCGGAATATAGGATGGAAAAAGTAGATTTTACAACCCCAAGTACCATTGCAAAATCAGCCGGTACCCTTGTGTCTATTGCTGGAGCCTTCATTCTAACTCTTTACAAGGGGCCCAAAATCCTTCCAGCCTCATTATCTTCGAGTTCACAGTACAAAAATCTTTATGAGCTGCAATCCAACTGGATTCTCGGGGGACTCTTTCTTTCTGTAGACTGTTTCGTGGCTTCAATGTTCACGATTGTACAGGTGTGATATCAACATATGCAAAAAAAACCCAAGAAACCAACATAAGTGAGAAAAAAAAAAATGTAACTGTAACGAAATATATTGGGATATGTTTTCTCTCAGGCATTCATTCTAAAGGGTTATCCAGCAGAGCTTATCATGGTGTTCTTCTATTGCTGCTTTGCTGCCATTCTATCCACAGGGATTTCTCTAATTTCTGGAAGTGATCTGAGTGCTTGGACATTACAACCTCGTATGAGGTTATTTTCTGTTCTATACTCGGTAGGTGACAAATTCAATTACCACATTTGAGGCCTGAATGTTCATTTTAAATCTTGCACCTGTCACTTAGTCCCGGTCTGATTAATTCAGCACAAGCTAAGATTTTTCTAGCAAGTTTTTGGTCACTTTTCATGGATGCTCATCTATTTGGGAATTGATGAGTGCATGTAAATCTGTCAACATAGTCTGAGAATCGAAACTCCATTTGCCTGGAATCAATTGCGCCTTTCATCTTAACAACTTGGCTATCTATATTTTTTGTTTCCACAAAACTGTTATAAAAGGTTTTAGGGCCCGAGTCTAATCTAGTTGTTTTCAGGGAATTTTTGGTTCTGCTCTCCAAGTAAGCTTGATAACATGGTCTGTTCATAAAAAGGGGCCTCTTTTCGTAGCCATGTTCCATCCCCTGGGAATTGTCATAGCGGCCGCCTTCAATATTATCATTTCAAAAGATCCTTTCTTTCTTGGAAGGTATGCTTCATTTAATCTGTTTACTCTGTAGGAAGTCATATGTATTTTGAAAACTACCAGTTGCTTAGATGTTGTTCGGGTATTTTTTTCCTTTTCCGCCCAATTTTTTAAAGTATGCATTTTTGAAAACCCTGGGTATTATTAATCCAAATGTTTGCAGCCTGGTGGGATCAATTGTTATTGTTGTTGGTTTTTACTCTGTGATGTGGGGCAAGGCGAAAGAAATCAAAGTTGCCGAGAGCCATTTTGAAGCAGACATAGCTGCCGATCCTGAAAGCTTCCCACTCTTGAGAGATCAAGCTAAATGAGGATCAAGAGTTACAACCCATTCACCAAGATTGCCTTGAAGACTTGAAGCCAGAGCAGAGAGAATTACTTGTGTGGATAAGCCCATAATCCTTGTATACCGAATCCCCCAATCAGTCAATCTTCTACCTCCAATCTGGAATTCAAATGTAATACTAGCATTCCAGCAATTTGTTGGAGTTCAAATTGAAATTTATTTAGTTGAACATCATTTGTATACAAATAGTACTTGGAAAATGATGTTTGAAGTGTTCCTTTCGGACGAGGTTGTGAGTTGTGTAATATCTACAAGTGTTATACTCTTTGGCCAAAATCAATTTCTTGCCAAAATTACAATTTAGACGTGTCCATCATCCGCCAACATCAATTATTGACAAAAGCTTCTTAAAGTTTTTTTTTTTTTTCTTGAAAAATAAAGTTGTACAGGATACACATCTCTTCTTGTTCATATACTCTGTCTGGTGCTTATATGATCTGTTCAATGTTCTTCTTTTCGCTATTGTTCCCAATTATTTCTCTTCTTTTCACCCAATTTTTCAAAATTATCATCATTGAGGAAGTTGCAGATCAGAATGGTTTCAATTCCCGAAGAATGCGATAATCATCTGTGTGGATCACTCCCAGGGGTGCTTTCACACACTGCATCGCGGAAAATCCCACCTTCAAAACCAGTTTCTTCATTTTGTTCACTGAGTAGAAGAAGATCGACCTCAACCCACTCTGGGATTCACTTGTGTAGATCTGGCTGACGGTACTGTTTATAAGATTTTCGAATACACCATACCCGCCTCTGTTACGGTTTGTTTCACACCCGTTTGTTGCGATTTGTACTGTTTCGCAACCGGATGGAAAATTTATTTGTGTAATCCCAGCATCAAACAGGTTCAAATGCTGCCCAGATCAATTTCAATAGATAACCCCTCAAATCTTGTTCTAGAACACAAGTTAGGATCCGGATACGTAATTTCGAAAGGAGAATACGTAGTGGCCAACCTGATTTGTAAAATCAATGTCGCGGTAGAAGACGGAGCTATGTTTGGTGGAGAAATTTTGTGCGAGATCTACACTTTTTGCCCCAACAATAGTAATTCTGAAATTGGTTCTAAAAACCCGAACCCCGATCGGCCTAATGGAGGCCGGCTGTGTTGGAGAGTTGTAAAGAATGGATGCCCAAGATGGTTTAATCAAGACGATGCCACGATGGTATAGTGGTTGGTACAACTATGTATTGGTTGATTACTGATGTTATGTATGCAGAACATTATGACGACTTGGCCTGATTATCTGAGAGGTGAGGATGAGCTGATTCTTGCTTTGGATATTGAGAATGAAAAGTTCGCCAACCCAACCCAACCCCGGGTTGGGAACAGGTTGAAAAAATGGTGAATGATTATTGGATCAATTTGGTGGATATCAAAGGTACATTATGTGTGACAGAAGGAAAGTAGTAGGCTTTCCAATTTTGGATTCGATATGCCTTTGGGTTTTTGTTGGCAAAGCTTCTTGACTTGACCCTTTGAAAATGGAATTAAAGAGACTAATAATTTTTTGATGTCTACATTCTTCCCATGATTGTATTAGTTGTACACAAAAACCACATAGATCGTCAATCTGCTAAAGTTATGTGAATGACTTGGAACAGAACTAAAGAGCGATCTTTGAGGAATTATAATGGAATACAACACCTTAGTCTGATCATTTTTTATTCTTTTTTTAAAAAATTTTTTACGAAGGAAGAATTGAAACTTAGTTACAAAACATCCCTTAGGATGAGGATGATAAGTTCCTATTTATTGCTAAAAGATCTGCTACACTCAACGGGAATGTTGACAAAATTTGTAACCCCGTCGGACAAGAGAATCCTAACTTAGTTAATTAATCCGCCGCCTCATTCAATTTTTTACTGATGAGGCTAAAATTCACTACCCATTGCTTTTCAAGAAGCACCAAAATGTGTCTCAAAAACGTTGCCTGATGGTATGAATAGTCTGATCATTGTTACAGCAGGTATATACAATTTAAATTGGTATTCCTCAGCTATAACATGCGATTCTATATTTGTAACACACAATTTAACTTGTTACTGAACAATATGACCAAGCATTCATGTGAAAAGTGCAAATCAGACTCAATTCAGTTGAGTCACTAGCAGAAAAGCCCACTGAGCTCAAAATCATAGGCCCAATAATTGGAAGCCCAACTGCTTATGGGGAATTATTGGAAGTTGGGAATTTCATCTCTACTTCACTCTTTTCATCAAGAGTAATGTCCCTAATTTGTATTTTAAATTTGGGAAAAAAAATAACATTTTTATCCTTTAGAAAATGATTAACATCGCCATTTTGTTTCTATCATGTAGTCAAAACTGAAATTTAGTTGTTGACTTTTCTGGGAGTAAAAACCAATCAATCGTAAATTTTCATCCAAAAAAGTTAATACTCCCTCCATTCCAAAATAAGTGTCATCCTACACTTTGCATATAGTTTAAGAACTCTTAAATAGGATAATAAAATTACTTGAATATCTTCAACCAACCCCACTAAAAAAAAGTCCACTAATAGTATTAATTCTTTCAAGGTAATTTTGAAAATTTTGGACAAAAAGTGTATTGAAATATGATAACGACACTTATTTTGAAATTTCTCTATTTTGTTAAACGACACTTATTTTGGAACGGAGGGAGTACTAAAAGTTAGTCCAAACTATCTATACTAGCTGACGTCCAAACTATTTACCTTTTTATATTTATATTTATAACTTTAAAAAAAAAATCTTCAAATCATATTATCAATTTATATACATACACGTTTATGTATACTACATGAAGTTGTGTTTATGGAAATAAAAAATGGGAAATGATAATGAAAATTGGGTGTAACAAGAATGAAATATAAGAGGGAAGAAAGTAGTGGGAAATTTTGGGAGGGGAGTTGTTGAGTGATTAGGAACTTGCAAACAGCAGAAAGGAACGAGTAACGACATACTATTCGGTGGTCCTGGATTTCTTTTGCTTTTTCAGGAAAAAAAAAAAAAAAACTACTGAGTAAAGAAATATTTGACTCCCACACACAACACATAGAGAGTAGTAGTTTTTATGTTGACAATTGGCAACCTGGGATTTCACATTTCCCAGATTGATTTTTGGATTTATATTCCTTTTGGTACATAGACTCTGGCCCCCAGTTTAATTGACTAGATGAGGACCAGATTTCTGTCCCCTAACCTTCTCACAACCAAGTTTTCCCAGTTCTCTCGATCTTTGTGTCAGCTCCGGTGAGCCCAATTGCAAATTTATCGTCCGATTTTGATTTTGATTTTGATTTTAAATAAAAATTGAATTAAAAGTAGAAGTCACAAGTGAATAATAATTTTGAGATAAAGAAAGGTATAATTAATTATCCAGTTTTGGCTGGAATCAATTTTAATATACATATCATATTTGCTTTTATTACTATTATTATTTTCAATTTTTATGAAGTTTTGGATCGTAATTCATACATCTCTTACTAGGACCATTTTCTTAACGAAATCCATTCTAACTAATTTTAAAAGTGGATTAATTGATATATGTGTGTGTGTGACTGAAGAAATAAGCTAGCTAGTGATCAAATACAAACTTGATGCTTAAAAATTATCTCGGGACGAGGGTCCTCATCATAGCATGCAGCTCACTTACAATATTTTAAAAACAATTATAAAGTGCATGGAAATGTAAATTTTCGTCCTTTGTTATCATGCTGCGAAATGAACATAATACCAAGTTATTACCTTCATATTATCACTACAACAAAAGGAGGATATTGGGACGCACTTGTTAGGATGCTTGACTTGAAAGCGTCCCAATAAATACATAATAGGACGCTGCTTACAAAGCGCCCCGTTAGAATATAAGTTGGGACATTTCAAAATGTCTCCATATAATAAATTAATAGGACGCTTATGATGTGTCTCGTTATAGTAATGCGTCCTAATAGTACATTTTATTAAGACACATAAAAGTGTCTCGATATAAATTTTTATTGGTACATTGAGAAGCATCCTACTAAGATGATTTGTGATTAACCAAAAATTTTAGTTTTAAATGCAACAAATTCCAAACTTAATGTTGATTGATGAACAAAACTGTATAGTATATAGTTGTTTTTAATTTTAATAATAACTCAAAAAAATAATTTTAATAATAACTCTAATATAACACTCTAAAAATTGTATTATTTCCCACACGAATCAATTAACTATATTCTAGTCCTTCTAACTTAAAGTAATATTAGTAGGGCACTCTATTATTTATGTTTTTACTCAAACTAATTTTTGCAGTGATATATATTTTACTTCTTTCGTAAATAGATGTACCACTAATTAATAATATGATGTTCTCTTATTTCAATCTTCAAATTTAGTCTAAATGAATGTATTTCAAAAGTTATTCTGTGGACCATGGTTTCAATTGCAATATGAATTCATGATTGAGGAGTTTTGGATTTTCATTTTTTAGTTCTACGCATTATTGTCGAATTGTATTGAAAATGAAGATCCAAATTGAACATTTACTTCAAGATAGAATAAGTATTGTTAGTAATTATCTATTGTTTCTCATTAGTGATGTGTTTATTGATTTCTCGAGATAATCCAGACAAAAGTTTTGTCATGACAATCAATAAAATCATGCCATCAAGTATCATAATTGATCGAAAAAGGTTTACTTTTTTCTTTGTTTAGGTTTTAGTACCTATTAATTAATGAATGTAATTATTTTAATTAATTCTAAGTATATTAAATATGGAAAAATTAGTTTTCATTTGAATTGATAAGAAATGTATATTTATAAATAATCAAATTTGGCATAAAATCATTGGGTGTCCGGTGTCTCAAATGGTACCATTCTCTTTTAGTATATAAAAAAAACACTAGTTATGAAACTGGAAAACATAATTATAGCATTAGTAAATTTATTTTTAGTGTTGGAATTCCCAATTAGAATTTTTCTAATGTATATAATTCAAAATACTGTGCAAAACTTCTAAACAAACTTGCATCATTTAACTTATACTCCCACCGTCCTATAATTATTGTCTAGTTTGGATTTTTATTTCTAGTTCAAATTGTACTAAAAGTAAAATATCAAACTAGACAATAATTTCGGGACAGAGAGAGTATTAAAAAAAATTTAATTATGGTAAGAATTAAAGAACGAGTACAACATAAATGTCTAATTTGAAATTTCTATAATAATTTTAACTCCAATTAATCATTTTCATCTCATAATGATTATCATATTGTTCTATTAATTTTAGTACACTAAATAGAACAACCATTTTTGCGAAAAAAAAGAATAATGGTTAAAATTTGTTAACTTAAAAAAAGCAATAAATAGTTTTTATTCGTTGGAGAACATAAATTATTTATATTTGATACATTAACAAATTAAAAAAAAAAAACTTCACAACATTATTTTGTGTGTGATTGTGGTGATGGTGAGTTGGGAAAAATTGAAAAATGGTGGGAAAAAGCCAAAAATTAAAGAGGGAATTGGAATATTTGGGTTCAAAACTCAAAAGTTCTACTTTTACTTTTGAGGTAGCGCCTAAAACTATTATCCCATAAACCAAAAATATACTATCTCTAAAAATAAATAAGAGAGGGTTTTATCCCTTGCCTTCCCCGCCCAACCCGTCACCCATCTCTTGACTCTTGCTCTGCCTCCCCCAAACCTGAATCTCAAATCCTATACCACCCATCCCTCGTTCTACCCCAAATTGACGACGCAGATATCCCACCGCCCCAGCAACCCCGGCCACTACCTTGCCCGGTGACATCCAAGTTGCCGCTGAGTTTAAACTCTCATCCAAACCTGCTACTATCGGGATCTGGATCGATGTCAGGTCAAAGTTCAAGTCGGACGAGATGTCAAGGGATATGGTCGGAAATTTGGGCTGTCAATTGTAGGATCTCTTTTGAAGAAGAAATACAGTTTCAAGTTTTGGATTAATCAAGGTAATATGCTAATCTCTTAGGGATGTTTCTGCTTTTGCTTTAATGTGTAACTAATTCATTTGGGCTGCCGAGATGCTTAGATAGAAGGAACTTACAGTATGATTATTATTATTTTTTTCCTTGAGGTTTTGGCTGAGAAGGGAAATAAGGGGCAGATGGATTTGCAATGTCTAGAAGTAAAAGTAATGTCATTAGTGCTCAATTTGATAAGAAAATTGAGTTCCACGACCTCTTCTAATCCCAAATGCAACATTAAGCTAAAAATTTATTAAGTAAACTTCAAAATGGTGTCTTGATTTAGGGAAAGATTCTGAAATTGGTTTTGATACAT